TATGTATACATATATATATATATATATTATAAATAAATAATAATAAACTAATAATAATAAATTCTAAATTATAATATGTTATAATTTATATATATATATTTATATATATATATGTGTGTGTGTGTATATGTATATATATATATATGTGTGTATGTATACATTAAGCTTGCTGCGCAGTAGCGTAGACACAATAATTATAAATAAATAATCACCAACAATACTAAATTCTAAATTATAATTTGTTGTGATTAAATTCATATATATAGGCCTATATAGATGTGTGTATATGTGTATATATATGTGTATGTATATATATATATATATATATATATATATGTATGTATGTATGTGTGTATGTGCATATATATAAATTCATATATAATTTATGTATACATATATATATTTCATTAATTAAATATATATATATACATTAAGTTTGCTGCGTAGTAGCGTAGAAACAATAATTATAAATTATAAATAATAACCAATAATACTAAATTATAATCTGTTGAGATTGAATTCAGATATATAGGCCTATAAATATATATATAATATATATATATATATATATATATATGTGGGGGTGTGTGTGTATATATATGGGACGTGTACATGTGTAGGCTGCATGCAATATTCATTTGCATGCAGTATATTTCTTTTCCTTTTGATTTCCTTTTGCTTGTTTTGTTAAAACTGTTCCATTGAGTTTTGGTGCTTTTTTTTTAGGTGATTGTTAGTGTGCTGATTCTTTTCTTCCTTTCTTTTGTGTCTTTTGTAAGACCGCACCACTGACTGTGAGTGCCAACGATACAAACGTGAAGTGTCACAAATAAATAAATAAATATATAAATAAATTATATTTTTATTTAAAAAAATTTATAATGATTATATATATATATATACATATATATATTTATATATTTTATATATATATACATATATATATTTATATATTATATATATATATATATATAAATAATAGAAACAATAAACAATACTGGGATATATGAATGATTCAGGTTACTGTAATGTAATATTAGGTGTGCTATTATATAAAAAAACGCCGACCATTTTTATTTTTACCATCAAATAATATAGGTTCTCGGTTTCTTTTAAACTGGTTTCCAGGCAAAAAAAAAACAACTCATTTTAATTGGGTGAACATGTGACGTAGAACAATTAAGTGACGTGTATTATGATATGTACACACAAAGCGCTATGTAATTGTCACGTGGGTTTCAATTTGTGCTTGAGATTATTAAGCTGAAACTAATATATAGCTATTGGTTATAGGGTGATAATAACTTGGTCAATTCCGAGCTTATTAATTAATTGATTGCGTTATCTTTTTTTTTTAATTTCCCTGTAAAAGATGTGATGAATATTGACAATGCGTGGCTTCCATCTGCCGCTTTCATAGAATTTGATGTTCGGTACAACAAATATTTAGGCCTATAATTACTATGATGCATGCTGACTGGAAAATAATGTTATTAAGATATAGAATACAAGATGACTTTTTGTCCTCCATAAAACATGATGAATGATGATGATGATGATGATGATGATGATGATGATGATGATGATGATGATGATGATGATGATGATGATGATTAATAATAATAATAATAATAATAATAATAATAATAATAATAATAATATTAATGATAATTATAACAACTACAAAACTAAAAACATAACTTAATTGTAAATGTGATACTTCTTTAAAAAATTATACTATGAAATGTAAAATAAAATATTAAAATTGTTATTGTAATTTTCATTTATATTGTCGTTATCATTGTCATTGTTACTATTGTCATTATTACCATCATTATTATTGTCTTTATTATTATTTATCATTACTATTAATATTATTATTATAGTTTGTCAATAAATTATAATAAAATTGTTATATTAGATTTTGAATCCGGCGATATCTATAATAATAAAACTACATTTAAAAATCAGATTGCTACAGGCAGTGTTATCGTCTATTGTGAATTTGCGTACAATAGAAACAAAAAAAAAACATCCATATTAAGCCCCACTTAATTCGTAACTGCTATTTTCTCACCTTTATTAGAGTACTTGCCCACGGCATAGTGATGAAACAACCTAGTTTACAATGTCAGGGTCGTATTCAGGACTGCCATTTGGAGAGGATGGGGTGCGGGCCCGAGAATGTACGAAAATGTCGACTTGTTAGGGCGTATAAAATGTACACTAGTGCGCTATCAAATTAGGTTTTACTGCGTATAGCACCGTAAACACAATGAAATAATAAATACCGTAGTATTGACAGTGCTTCAATGTAAAATACAAATAAAATTAGTACAGTAGCACTTCTTTTTTTTAATTAACAAAATGTTATGAAAAACAAGCTTTCGCTAGCTTCATAAGGTAGGCCTACTTCAACATATAAGCACATGATAGAATTATATTCCAATCCACTCCAATCGGTTCATTTATATAAAGCGCCTTTCTTTGCAGATACGAAGCGCTGCACCCCAAATAATTAGGCACCTCACAACCCACAGGCAGTCATGATCATTGCCTAACCCAAGCACAGAACGAGTAAACAAATCAAAAGAAGGTGGCATAGAAATAAATAAACAATAAATGAAATAAAAATGAACAAAATGAATTAACGAAGTGAGCCTATAGAACAATTTCTAAATACATTTTCGTTGAAGCACTATGTTAAATACGATAACATCCTGTTCCTATATTTGAGTAATGTTATCATTTATCTATTTGTTTATATATATATATATATATATATATATTATATATATATACTTTTATTATTTATCTATTTGTTTATATATATATATATATTTATATATATAAATCATCATTGATGATGATGATTTATATATAATTTAACATTGTTAATTACGGCTATTTTAACAGCAAGTTGGCACAGATATTGGGTAATATCACGCCGTAATTCCGTTACCAAAAAAAGGATTAATGTTTTTCTGAGAGCAAACCAATGTCCATAAACTCAAGTTACTTTATATTCTCTTACTAGTCATACACCTTTACCATTATCACT